AACCTACAATTAGTAAATAAAAAATTTGCAAAAATTCCTTTTCGAATATTTCGCCCTGTATACAAATAACTGTCATCTAATATATTATTCAAGGACAATGTAAGAAACGAAGTAGAAAAAGTGCGATTATAAACAGATAACAGGTAATATCTATACAATATTTAATTCGCCATTTCATCTTCAGAAGACAGCATACCGCGGTAACAGACAGCTGTATAATCAGTGATTGTTTTTACGCCGGTAATTACTACATGCTTAATTGTAACATAAACTCAATTACCACCTAGTTTAATCAAGATAATAACTTTTATTGTCCTGCACGATTAACACCAAGGTCGTCATCAAGCAAGGCAACAAAAGTCCTGTAATTTTACCTGCCTTAAAAGGGACATTTGTTCGTTCTTCTTTTTTGAACATAAGTCCTTATCGCATGTTGTGTCGGCAATCAGCGTTACCCGATAAATTTCTTGAAATTTTTAAGGCAAAAAAAATGATATTTAAACAAAAAATCATTTGTCACAAAAAGGAATAACCTTTTTTCTTTAGTTATTCCTAATAGTTTTAGGAGATTTCAACGCAGTAATAGGTGAAGGTAAAGTGGGTGCAATAGCAGGTTCTTTTGGATTAGGCAATAGAAATGATAGGGGAGATAGGCTGATAGAATTTTGCGATAAACATAACTTAACCGTCGCGAATACTTTATTCAACCATCACGCTAGAAGGCGCTATACGTGGAAGATGCCAGGTGATTCAGGGAGATATCAGTTAGATAACATACTTGTTAGGCAAAGATTTAAAAATCAAGTGAAGGACTGTAGGAGTTTTCCAGGAGCAGATATAGATAGCGATCATAATTTAGTAGTTATGAAGGCCAATCTTAAATTCAAAATTCTGAAAAAGAGGGCAGGTAGGAGACGTCTCGACTNATTGTATTGTTCTTCTTAATGAACAGATATAGTTCTACAAAACCGGGAACATAAAAAGTCAACCAAGTGCGAACTTTCCAACCCTTAATTTTTTATTTTATCACAACCGCAAATAAAAGAAAAATTAATTCACTAAATTAATGTTATTTAAAAGAAAAGTTCAAAAAACAGAAGTTCCTGTAACAACAAATTTAACACAAGAATTCGGAACTTATATGTATATATACAAACTGGTTGAGTAAGGGTAAATTATTTATATCTAATTGATTATTTAACAGTGGATTATTGGTGTTTTTGTACTTACTGATTTCTATGGTTTCCGAGAGAGAGTTTACACCTTTTACTTCTACAATATTGTAACATTTCTTAATCATCATTCATTATAATTATAATATTTACTGATGAACAAATAAAACCACAATGGGATTTTTTATAAGGTCAAATACTTGACAATATTGTTCTTATTTCAAAATCCTCTGTTAACCTTTTCTCAATAAAGTTACCTAGCAATAAATTAAAAACTATTCATAGAATAGTAAGCCGTAATACCAAATTCATTGGTGAACAACAAACCTAAAAAAAACTATTTTCAAAAATCGGTATTAAAAACTGTGATGCGACTTCGACATAGGACAGAGCGGAAGGACTTTTAGCATTAGAATAAAAGAACATGTCAACACACACGCACATGTACGATTAATCATTTATACAAAAATTTATTCCATCGTGGTAAATACCTTGTATTTTTTTATTGAGACTTCAGAAATACTAAAAAATAATGTTGTTCCCAACGAAAAGTTCTTAATTGAAACATTAATAAGGGCTACATCGAATTTAAAGGTTTTCATTAGAAATAAACGGCTAAAAAGATGTAATTTCATTGTAATTAACGGGTCTAAAAAGTTGTGCAAAGAATTTAATTGTCTTTTGGAGTTGAATTTTCTAAAATCAAATTCAGCAAAGTTACAGCTATTAGAATAAAAGAATGATCTTGTTCTCATTCTATTAATCTTGATACTTTACAGAAACCAGGTAATAATTTTTTTGACGTAATTAAAATTGGGTTCAAATATAAGAAAAAACGCTGCTACCGTAATGTAAAAACATAAAATAAATTTTGACTCTGTATAATATGCTAAGTATTTTTAGAAATGAATAGTAAGTTGATAATAAGAAGAAGTTATTGTATCTAAAGAAGCATAAACAGTGATCGGACACTCTTCTATTAACACTTTGAAATAATTATCACAATTTAGTTCGAGACTGTTAGTCCATTGCTAACAACACACAAGCGAAGCAGCCACGTACAAAGGCAGTCTTGGATGATTACACAACCATATCGGTCACTCTCTTCAGATGTCAACAAAATAGCCACGGCACACGTCCACATTTCGGTAAATATTTGAAGATAAAGAAAATGTTAAATGGAAAACAATAAAGTGAAATAAAGAGGCAATTTTAACCAGATGTGACAAAATTAGCACCTTCGTTTTCGTACATGTATAAATATCGCAAAAAATAATTAACACATTCCAACTCAATTCATATTTTTTTCAAACATACATGCCTATTATAGATATTTGAACGAAATCGATGACAAGAAGACTGCATTTATTGGACTAGTGTCACTTTGTGTTTGTAAAAACTATTTAAAAAAAGAAAATGATTGAATATAATGAAATATCCCTATGCTCGGTTCTAAATTCGCCATTAGTGTAGATAACAATAATGATGAAAATAATATATGAGTTAAATAAACTCAATTATACAGTAAAAATGTAAAGATTAATAAAAGTATCTACTGTTTATGTGTAAAGATTGTATTACCTATTAAAATTTTCATATTTTTGTATCAAAAGTTATGTAAATAGTTGATGTAGCGTTGGAAGGCAAAGATAACTGGATTACTATATGAGAAGTGTTGCAAGAAATATAAAATTTCAGCGGCAAAATCCGTAAACAGTTCTACCGCGAGTGATTTCAATGCTCGGCTAAGAGACAAACCCACTCGCGTGTTCATCATTCTAGCGTAAAGGCTGTGGTTTTTCTGGTATTAATTCAATTTTGTGGTAAAAATATTTGTTTTCTACTTCTGCGGCCCAAATCTAATTTGATTTAAATACAAATTTGTGCGCTACAAAAACCAGAGCGCCCAAGTGGAAAGAATGCCGCCGTGACATTTTCGGCATCTTTGAAACTATTTTGTTATTGTAAAATCCATGACAATTATCGATATTCAAAACTCTTTCTATTTAAATATAACTATCTTAATATGTACAAAACATCAGGTAACTTTGCCTTTCAGCTATTTATTAAAAACTATTGAAAAGGTCTAATTTATTGTACAAACATTAAACAGTAATTTTTATTAAAAATATTAACGATTTAGTGCCGCTATTTTCTTATTCAAGCAACTCAGTAAATATTTTTGTAAGTACGTTTTATTTGCAGAAATTCCTAATTTAACAATCTTACTTATTTGGATCTCCGAAAGTACTCATCGAATTTAAAAAATTCAGGACCTTCATGGTCGACATAGGCCGTACATTAGAACGTTAAAATAAAAGGGCTTTTCGTGGAAACGAAGTAAGAGAAATGGGGACTAAAAAGGACCATAAAAAGATCCTTGAGAATACATATCTGTACGTTTAGGTTAATTCACAAATTGGTAAAATATAACTTCACAAATTGAACTATATAAACGGTCGAAGTCGCGGGAGTAGCTAGTTTACAATAAAAAAAAGTGTCTTTTTTATTTCTATAGCGTCATCGGCCTTACCTTTATTACCCTAATCTTAACTAATAGATATTATAAATGTGAATATGTTTGTTTGTTTATTTATTACCATTTCACGCAATAACTATTCAACCGATCATCATGAAATTTTGTACACACATTATAAAGAGTATAGAGAAGGACATAGGGTAGGTACCGTTTATCCAGAAAAAAAATACCGTCCCAGAGGAATAGAAAAATTTCTTTTCGTCACGATAGAGAAGGACCGCATTTACTGCCATTCTATGCGAAGTATATGTTTATCCTGATGATCCTGGTAAGGAGTTAAGAACAAATTTATCATATTATTGCATTTTCGATGTTCTTGGACACGTATCTACGACATCAACGTGAACGGAGCGTTCTTAACGTCATAGTCATAACTATTTTACATTTTTTTTTCAGTTTTAAAAATAAAACTAATTAATCTAGTTAATAATAATAATCGATCTTTTAGATTCATATTATTTTTACCATAAAATTAATCTTTTAAGAATGTTCCTTAATTGTAAAAGTTTTCATTTACGTATCATCCAGAGAGAAAATTATTTTCTATTTTCTTCTACCCTTAATTATTTCGTAAAAACTAGTACCTACAATATACATATGCATTGTTTAAATAATAATGTTTAATATGGAAGTATCATTTCTATGAACATTTCATTACCGTCGGATGACCGTCTTAGAAACTGATGTTTTCCCGTGCTCGGAAAATTAATTTCCAATATTAGTTGTAACTATTTATAACATGACAATCTACACGTAGACAATGAGCTTAACGTTAGTTTACTTTTTGTTTAGGCACTTACAGTTATAAACAACCAAAAAATGCCTAGGCGCCTAATCTTTAAAATAAAACAATTAGAAAAGAAAATCATCGTCAATAAACCGCCTGCAAGTTTTATATTTCTTCAAGCAATAAGAAAAAATTATATCAAATTTAATAAAAACAATTATTGACCACATAATGTGGTAATTGTGGTTTAAATATCTATAGCGTAGTGGTTGGGAAGTACCGGTAATACTTTTAAGTAGTTAGTGAATTTACAAATTGTCGTATTCTGAATAGATGGGATAGTTAAGAAAAATGATACGTAGTCATACGGTTGCTGGTAAGTAGATAGTGTTTGAAATCGTTTAAAAATAACAACGTTGGCGTGGAGCTATTTGCTCAAAACATTATCAAATTAGTACTAGCACGTCGCAAAGGAATTAATAATAGAAAAAAACACAAAACATGAGAGAAGCACGGATGGATAAAGAGAAAAACAAATTGGTTCGTATAAAAAATGATTTACCGTGTGAACATGTTGATTTGTGAAGAAGGTACAAACGGTGAAACTGTCGTAAAAAAAAACTATTACGCGGTACACATATCGTGGCGCGATCTTCGTAGTTGGCGGGATATAGGTATGCACGTGAATTTAACAACACTGCATTCAAGTCGGTTCTTTAGAAGCACGAATAAGTACTGCCTGGTAGACGAAGTACCCAGTGTGGTTTAGAAGGCGGACTAAAGTTCCCTTCTCCGAGACTCTTCTAACCAATTGGGCAGAAATGGTTAGTCTTACTACTACAATCTGATGATGCAGTTCTATGATAATCTGACATTAAAAAAATTACGCTCTTACTCGGAGGCAATCCTAGAAATCCATGAAATTACATCGGAAGAATAGTGCCGCAATCCCCAACGCCCACCGAACAAAAAAAAATCTGGACGTCCACCAATTCAATCAATCAATTTCAAAATAAAACCAAGATCAAAATTGCATATAAGTTCCACAAACTTCATGTAAAACAAAATCAAACTGACACCAACATTAATACTGCACATACCAATCAATTTTGCCTCATTGTTTTAAACTTTTTTTTAACTAAAGAACCTGATGTAAAATTATTTAATTGTACCAAAACGAAAGCTCATTTAGATAAGTACATCATAATTACAGAAAGAACTTACTAGTTTAAAATCCTCTCATTTAAATCTAAACAAAATCTAACTGACATCAAGCTGAATATTGCACACACTAGGTAGGTACTAAACCTTCGTCAATATTTTAAATATCTTTTTAACCAAGCAATTTAATTCTTGTAAACGGCGTCGTTCAAGTATGGACAAATCTAAATAAATATCCAAATTTGCAACCTTCTTGGCGTAATCATTCAAATCTGAAGAGCATCTTGGTTTTCGAACAATAAGATTCACTGGCGCCTTTTTATCTATTGTGATAAAGACACATTTGCGATCACTCAAGTGTTTACAGTAGTTATCATATACATGTCTTACATACATATACATGAGTAGCTACATTGCATTTTAAATTGAGTGTTACATTAAACAAACACTCACTGTGCAACAGTTCTTTTTGTTACCACACGTCTTTTGTTCACTATAAACTGAATAATCCTCAAAATAATAAATAAGAAGGACTTCCCATATCATATGCCAATTGCAAAATAATCGTTTAGAAACTAGACCCACTTGTTTATCCTTGTGGTTCTAATATGGGTATGTTTGTAATGGAAACCAGTGCATCTACCTCCTCTCATGATAGGAATTTCACTGTATTTTATAAAATACTAACCATCAAGGACGAAATATCATTTGTGTATGTAAGGTGTCGTTAAGGGTTAAGGTTGGGTTATAGTTATCGTCATGGTTTAAATATTAATTTGACTAGAAAATGGGAACTGTACCACGGGGCACCCATTCGTCCAAATCTAAACGGGCTCGACTAGTTAAATATAATATTCTTGAAGATGACTCTTGAATTCGAAGAACAGCCTAATAGCGACTATTTGGCATAGATTAATGTGTGAAAAAGTATTTGACGTCGTAAATTAAAACGGTTTTTAAACTCGATCCTGATGTATTGTAAAAAATGAAGTCAATACGGTCGCCATCCTATAAGTCATCTAAAAGGAAATCGTAAACCTTAACGCGAGTCGAGATAAAAAATATATAATGTTTTAATGTTTCTTTTAGCAGCTAACGAAATCTTAATACTAGGAGGTATTAAAAAATAAACGGACAACCATTATCATTCGTATACTGGGTGTTTCACGGTGACCACCGATTAGAATATTTCAGAGAATTTGTACAACGGCGTTACTGGGTATGCCCTTTTCAATTAAAATAACGGCATCTATGTAGCACTTCTGGTTATATCGAATGTTGACATCAACTTCGTTATTTTTAATAGAACACCCTGTATATTATGATGATTTTGAATTCTACTTATGATTTTAGATATATTTACATAAGGCTTTCCTATTTCTAAAATTTACAGTTTTCGAGATATTAATTTTTTTTTAAGAAAACAGCACAGAGGGTAGCTAAAAAGCATCCCTATTTTATAGTAACAAAGCTGGAGCAACAATATTATTAGGAGAGGTAACTATACCGTCTAGTTTTTTCCTTTTACTTTCAAAGTGGGTTAATTATATACAGGGAGATAGATATTTAAAGGCAGATTTGGTTAACTTCAAACAATTGTATGTGCATTTTTTCAAATGGAACACCCTATATGTATTTTCATAGCCACATGCAGAATTTTATTTTCTTTCGAATGGTTCCCTATACATATCTCCCCTAATTTTGAAAGCTACATGCCGCTATTTTAACAAATTTTAAATCGAAGTTGTTTCTAAAATATTCTAATGGGTGGCCACCGTGAAACACCCTGTATATTTTTATATTATCCGCGATGTTCGATGGACAAATGGTTTGTTCTAGTGTAGATGTATCTCTGATATATTATGCAATGTGTAATCAATATTACAAATAATTAATTCACACTGGGCATGAACTACTTAATTAAGTGTAAAAATTTGAAACGTACATATAAAAATAGTATCTTAGATTTTATATTTTACAAAAAACTTACATATTAATGACGTTTTGAACACTCCATAAAGTGCTGTATGAGTTATGATTGTAGCTAACATTTATTAAGTTAATTTTTTAGTACCGAAAATAAAAATGGTGGAGGTGCTGGTCACTTTGTATTAGTGACAGTGGCGGATTACTTGCTGCCACCCTGGGCCCCGTTTGATGCGCCGCCCTTTTTGATAAAACGAATTTCATAAATTTTGATCCAATATTTTTATTTTAAAATCTTTTCATTATTGAAATGTAAATTTTAAATATATCTAACTAATATACATTACAGATGAATAATTAAGCGAGAAACTTTAGACAGATAAATAATAATGTTGTTGTTTAATATTAACCACTTTGCAAAATTTCTTTTTCCTGGCTTTGGTCCGCGCAAAAACGTCGATTATGTCGTCATAATTAATTTCTTGGGTTAGTTTAGCTTCAATAGACAGATTGAATTTATTTTTAATGAAAAATTATTTTTATAAATAAAAAATGTTTTGACTTTTGAAAGGATATCAACACGTAAATCTACCGTATTTCACACTGAAAACAAATTGAAAAACTATTCAGATTTAGTAATTTCAAAACGCATTATACAAACAACAAAAAGTGCAGATACAAGAACTAGAAAACATTACTCGATAAAGACTATAACTGATTTATTAAAAAATTAACATCTTACCCACAGATTTAAAAGTAAATTAAAAAATTGATTTATAATATATTCTGTAGATTTTTTTTTATAAAAACTAAGCCTAAACAATTTTTAAAATGATTATCTACTTTTTTTCGCCTTTAAAATTTTGGCATTTCACAAATTTTGCCGCCTTAGGCGCGGACCCTAGGCGTAAATCCATCAGTAATACCATGGTAGTTTTTTTATTTTGCGTTAACCACATCGCAAAAAAAGAAAATGAAAACTTTTTTGAACTTTGTATTTTAACAAATAGTTACTTAACTTTTTATTCTGAAACATTATTTTTATAAATAAAAAATGTCTGGACTTTTGATAGAATATCAAAATGCTATTTAATACATGCAAATCTATCGTATTTATATTTCACAATAAGAAAATGTGGTGAAATGAAGTATCTATCTTTAATATCCAAAGAATTTAAATTAATTTTTCATAGTTGACCAAATTTCGGAATTATTATACCGCATATTTAACATGGCATGTATAAAATGGTAAAAAATATGAAATGTATAAGAAACAGAAAATTATATCGGCAAACAAAAATCGCAAAATAATTATTTACGTTTATGCCTGTTAACTTCAAATAAATGAATTATTCATTACAGATATTTAATAATATATTATTGATATAAAAAAGCCAGTCTGTTGTGATCATTTGGAGTAAAAACCTAACCCAACCTGAATTTTTTAATTTAAGAACACCTGCATTCAAAGGTTACATATGTTTACCAAAATAAATTTTACGATAACATAATCAAATAACTCGATTAAGAATTACTGTATTAAGTCCTTCAGATCCATTTATACGTAGGTAGGTACCAAACTTTTAAACTAGACCGTATACTCCTTTTACGTTGTTGACAGCAATATCTTTGAAAGATTGTTTTCTTTTTTAATTTGAAAAAGGGTTAAAAATAAGTTCCATATTTTGTTTGTTATCAATTAAAAGAATAACATAAAAACAAGAGGGCCATATTCTGTTAGATACGTCGGAAGATGCAAAGAGACCCAGCAACAGCATTCGTGGTCAAAAGTTTAGAAATGCTCCATTTAGGTCATAGTGAACAAGTAAAGTACCCGGACAATGACCAAGCGCTGTAATAACAGGTTTCGCCTAGTGCGGGTGGATGCCGGACTGGACCATGTTGAAATGCGGTCACCGCGCGTCCAAGACATTACATTACGCGCTCATCCCTCCGCCCACGCCTCACTACACCGCAAGCCAAAGACTGGCTGACACGAAGATACAGAGCCATTCCACCCAAACATCTACGTACATTGTTTATGTAACTATATCGCAAATAGAACACACTTCTGATTTCGTAATTACCACTTACTTACCTAACTATAAATAATAAATAGCCCTGTTCCAATTTCAAACAAATTACTCTAAAATCAATGCAGTATACTCAAAATAGATTTAAACGAATGCACTCATCAAAACATTTCTCCTAGTTTTTTCCAAATTTCTCATGGGTGAAATTAAAGTTAAGAAAATTGAGTGCATTTTCCATAAGAGGGAAATGGACATCAAATGGGTGGTTAAACAGATTATACTATTTTTGTACAAATACATTTTAAATAACAAACAAAAACAAATCTTTCATTCGGAATCAATGTCGTACAAAAAATGGTAAATAATTAATTAATTGTACGAGACACATCTGCACAATTTAATTTGGTAATGTTGTTAAACATTGACAATGAAGAATAAGAAAAACAAAACAGCATTGTTAAATCCGATAAAAATAGCACACTCTTAAAACAATAATTAGCGCTTAATTAGTCTTATCAGATCAGATAAATTTTAAGTGTTTCGCTAAATAAATTTTACAGGTGTTTCTTACGAATTGATTATTTACTATTTTTCATGCAAAAAATAACTTCACATTATAACATCCGAAATACTTAACTACTTGTAAAAGGTACATCTGCAAAATTTTATATAGTGAAGCTATAAAAAATTGGCATTTAAGTAAAATAAACGCTAAATACTAAAAAAGCCAGATGAAAAATAAAAGCTTCATCATTATTTCTCACGATTTTAAAAATCGGGGATTTTTTTAATAAATGTAAAAGTATCTAATATTTTAATGCAGAAATAAGTTCAATGTATAGGCAACACATTTTACAGTACGTAAATGAGTTCAGAATACCATACAGAACGATTTATTTAAACGAAAACTAATTTAAAATAAATCAATAAATTTCCAATAAGAAGAAGATACTTATTGTTTGTATTACTATTATTGATAATATTTACCGATAATACATAAAATTTTTCATATGATTTTTACTATTTAACGCGTATTTAGTTTTATTGTTAAATAATTTTTAAGAATTTTGCTAAATAAAATTTTACAGATATGTTTCGTACAATAAGTTATTTATTACTTTTTATGCAAAAATAACTTCACATTGAAACATCCGAAATACATAACCAATTGTATAAGGCACATCTGCAAAATTTTATATAATGAAGCTATTAAAAATTACTAATTACAACGCTAAATATTAAAAAAGCCAGATGAAAAATAAAACAGTTTAAGATAAATGTAAAAGTAATACAATAGTTAAATGCAGAAATACGTTCAACGTATAGGCAACACATTTTACACTCCGTAAATAAGTTTAATAGTGCTAGTTAAATATATTTATAAATAAAATATATTTGTCAATTATATTATTGTTATTGGCACTTTTTACCGATAGTATGAAATATACACTAAAAAGTCTACTTTTATTTACTATTTTAGCTGTATGTGTCCAAATGTAAAAAGTTTTTAATTAAATAATGATCTCAGTAATATCAAAAAAATTAAATAACAAATTTTAATTATATAGTTATAAGTTTCCCATACTGAATTAGAGAACATTATTATCCAATACCCAATTAGTATTGGTAAGGTATTATCAATTACTTAATAGATTCTACCTTTATTTGATAAAAATCCATTATAATTATAAAGCAAGACTTTACTTTTTCACAACTTTTATTCAAAAGTAACAATTGTTTCGTCATATATTAACTTCATCAGACTTAAAATTAAAGTAATTACTACCGGCAGTAGTAGTAAGGGTCCTACTACTATTAGTAATAAGTACTCCAAGTCTGACGAAGTGATTGTTTGGCGAAACAGTTGTTACTATTTAATAAAATTTGTGAAGATCTGAGACGTTTTGTTTTTATGATATTATCGGTATCAATTAGTATTACTACTTCAATTTCTCACATTAATAAAGCAGTTTTAGTTTCCTCTACTTTTAATTTTCATGGAAATACACAGTTTTTCTTTTGTTTAATAAGTTAAAAGTAATATAAAGTAATAATTAAGCAACCTTTTGTAATTATTGTCATGTTACATCGTTATTTCATAAAAGCATCTAAATAAACAAATTGCCAAGCTAATAAATACTGCTAATGCTTGCTTCATCAATTTCAGTATCGGATAATTTTTAAAATTTTACCTTAATATGACCCACAGGACATCAAGAAAAACTATGGACAACTTCAACACGAAACAGGATCTATTAAAACAAGAAAAATAAAGGAAAATTAGTATATGATATAACACACATACCAGCACATTAAGGTTAGGTTAAACAATATCCATGCATCCATAAAATAAGATACAAATATTTCTAAAAACAATAAATCTATATCATCAGTGACACGTACCTTAAGTAAAACAAAATTTTTGCTAGACGATTAATAAGAAATTGTTGGATTTTCGCAAAAAGTACATTTAAATGTTCAAACACAATCGCGACGCGTACGTCAGACATTTTTCGTCGAAACTCGTCACTAACGAATCCAATTACAGGCAAGCATAAATTTTCAAAGCTTTCTTTACCATACTTTTACCATTTTATTTAATAGAAGTAGTGGAATGGCACAAAATACATAAAATAATAAGCTAAAGTCACGGATATAAGTATATTGGTTGTATATTGATAACACTATTATTGATTTGTCGAAAAACATACAATTGTTAATCACAAAAATTCTCTAGATAATTTGTTAATAGTCTAAGTACAAAAATGTTAAGCTAATATTATATTTTGTTACAACGAATAAATAAGTAGAAAAAGTAATAAATCGTAATGCGGCTTTTCTATTTGTCAGTAATTCCATAATTCCATGCAATTTCTGAAAAGAAATATAATCTTCAAACACAAAGTATCCAGGTTTATTAAGTAGATTTCCAAAAAATTATCCAGTTTTTGATTAAAAAAAAAACTAAGTAGTTTTTAGCCTACATTAATCATTGTGTTCTACATTGCTATATAGTTCACTAATTAATGAACCATCTACATTTCATTTGAGTTCATTAACTTATGCGCTACATAAGAGTAACTAACGTTTACAATTAAAAAAATGGAAATAGATTTAATTTTAATAAACATATTAAATGACTACTTATAACAACTTTAGGTATATATCAAACTAAAAATCATAGTTAATTTCTCACACTTAAGTTCGTTTCTTTTTTCCCACCTAGTTTTGAATGAATCAGCTGAAACGCAGCTGGTCGCTCGTCATCATTTCTTATTCTAACCAATTAGAATCTATGTTTCCCCCCCTACTGTACAGTTATCATCATTTTGTCGACAAGTAAGGCGCCAGAATTGCATTTACCAGTGGCGAATGTCATGAATGTGATTTTAATTTTTTAAATATATATTTAAAGTTTACGTTTTTCTTTTTAAAAGTGTAAAGCCAGTGAAAAAGTTATATCCAGCAAATGTTATATGCTAAAGGAAACAGAAACACTAACGACATGTTGTAAGTAATATTCGTAAACTTCCCTCAAAAAAATGATATTTTCGTACTTTTTGTTAAGAAGTAATTAATTTTCAATAAACTTAATATAATTTGAATGAAGGACTTATATTGGAAACCTAGAAGTTCAGTAAAAATTGCTTTAAAGGTAGTAGATGTAGTTGGGCATGGCCTCTTCATTTTTGGTAAATTTCTTTAAAATTCTGACTAAAACTTACTTTCGATTAACACTAGTATCTTTCATTTTAGTATCCATTATACTATATTTAAGTTTTTTTAAAGAAAAACTAATAAAAACACCTAATATGGTCTATTTACCGCTCATAACCTAACTTCGATAAACCAAAAGTGGGTACCTCGTTAACTATTAAAATTCATAGCTCTTGATCAATGTAAACTCTTTAATACCATGTATAGACTTTCTCAATTGAATTTCGATTTTAAAATGGTACAAAAGGTCGTGATTGACCATGTTATTCGTTATTTTTTATAACTGTTTGGCGCCTTTTGTATTTTCCGCGCCTTTAGATTTTACTTTGTAATTCTTTAATTTTATCAAGAATAAACTATTTTTGAAGCTTTAAGAACAATTCTTTTATAAGTAAAATAAGTATTTTACCTATTTCTAACAGATATGTCTTATAAATTCTACAAAATTAATTTTTATATAGAGGTTATTATTTTCATTCACCCACTTAAACTTTTGTAAAATAAGTTACTACATTTGTTTGTTTTACTGTTTTTTCTCATAGCAGTTATTTTGTGATCTTTATTTGTTTTACCTTTGTATGATATCAGTAGTCAACTCAATTCAATTCTTATTAAAACATAAATATCTGTTAACTGTCTTTTACTTATATTTAAAATTTCACACCCTATCAATTCTCCTTTATCAATAATTTTGAATTAGTAAGTAATTATTTGATGAATACTTGTTCTCAATCTTGATGTTGTTTCAGAAGTACACCTCAAGTATGGAAGGAGAGTTAGATACAGAGTCCAGGTAAGAACATAATACTGTTTAGTAACTTGTTGAATATGTTCCTTCTAATTAGTATTAAAGTAATTAAATAACGTAATTAGGTTTTAATTAGCTATGCTTAATATTAAATAGAGAATGGAAAGATATCTTAACAGAAAAGGGCAGTGTTCCTTCTAATGAAACTACCGTTCTTCAGTATGAAACAGACCATTTTGATGATAAACGCTCGTTTAGTGAAGAGCTCAGAGAGCACAAGAATAAAGTTATTTGGGCCTTCAATTATGGTGAGGAGGTAACAAAAAAGACGTTGGAAAATATACAAGCCTATAAACAGAAAACAATGGAAAGCTATTCTCTTTCATATGTAAGTCCAAGTGACGTAAAATACGGAATAACAAACAGTAACACAGATGAACCATCCACATCAACCGGTACTTATTCAAACCACATAACACCCCACTCACATAAAAAGCATAGTTGTCACAGAAAGAGTAAAAGGCGTGAAATAACTGACGAATTCAGTACTCCACAAAAAACCCGTGAAACTCCATTACCCTTGTTACCCTGGGCTGACAGTAAGGAAGTTTGGCAAAATATGGTTTATAAAGAAGAAGCTACTTCGCAAACAAGGAATTCGAGACTGTTTGAAGACAGAACCAGTTTCTTGCCCAGAATGCGTGCAATTTTATTAGACTGGATCATGGAAGTTTGCGAAGTCTATCGTCTTAAGAGAGTAACTTATTATTTAGCAGTAGATTATGTAGATCGGTATTTAACCATTAAACTGAATATTCCAAAAACACAATTGCAATTGATTGGCGTATCTTGTCTTTTCATTGCTGCAAAATTAGAAGAAATTTATCCTCCAAAACTAAGCGAATTTTCATATGTGTGTGATGGAGCATGTACTAATGCTGAAATTTTAGCATGTGAAGTTCTTTTATTGAATGTAAGTTCAAACATAATATCAAATAATGAACTTTTTTAAAATATACGTATACTTAAAAAAGCCTAAAGTAATATAAAGTAATTAACGTAATATAATTTTTGTTATAATTATAATAGTTTAAAACATGAGAAAGAAGTACATATTTTGGTTTTATATTAATATGTTTTATTTAGACCTTGGGTTGGGATGTGAATCCCATGACNAAATTAGAAGAAATTTATCCTCCAAAACTAAGCGAATTTTCATATGTGTGTGATGGAGCATGTACTAATGCTGAAATTTTAGCATGTGAAGTTCTTTTATTGAATGTAAGTTCAAACATAATATCAAATAATGAACTTTTTTAAAATATACGTATACTTATAATAGTTTAAAACATGAGAAAGAAGTACATATTTTGGTTTTATATTAATATGTTTTATTTAGACCTTGGGTTGGGATGTGAATCCCATGACACCTAGTGGATGGTTGAATTTGTATATGCAAATTCATTATGATGCTGCAAGTGTACGAAGGCAGAAACTTCGTGAAGGTTTAAACAGAGATTTTGTGTTCCCTCAATATTCAGCGTACCAGTTTGTAAGAGCATCACATTTGATGGATTTGTTTTCTTTAGATCCTGGTTATCTCAGATTCAGTTACAGTGTAATTGCTGCAGCTGCTATGTACTTTATATTTGGCAAACGAGTAGCATTGACCGTGTCAGGTAGATACACACGCTTTTATTTTTAACATGTTAAACTTTCATTTTTTGTTTCAGGATTAGGTTGGGACCAACTTAAGCACTGTGTTGAGTATATGGCAGTTTTTTATAAAGTAATTAGAGATACTCCCGATCCTAAACTCCACAGTATTCCTACACACGAAATAGATCAAAGACAATTGGCTTGTTACCGATACATTCGAACCAAAGTTCCAGATCTTGTACCCGATGAAAACCATTCTTTGCAGACTCATAGCGTAGATCTTGACTATTTTGTAAGCAAATGAATTTTGTAGGATTTATTAGTGTTATTATATTGTAATTAATGTTTAGGAAAAAGCCACCCTCATGCGGTTGGAGCAAATGGGCCTTCGAGTAGAAAAGACATACATAAAAAAGAAGAAAGAAAAACAAAAAAGTAACACTCCCGAAAAATGCAAGGAGGATTGCCAAGATAAAAAAAACCGGGAAGAAGAAGAGGAGATGACGCTTGTTATTTTCGACATAGAAAAAGTTCTTGACGATGCTGTTAGTGCCTTGGATAAAAAGAAGACTGACGAAACTGAAAGTACTGATAGCAGTCCAGACAGTGTTAAAAGCAGTACTAGATCTACAGATACACTTACATGCTTTAGTCCCAGTTCAATTCCATGTGAAGCCGATATTTTTACAAAAGATCCAAAAACGAAGCTAACATTTGATGAAATATTAGCAAGGCTACATGACTGTGCAAATCAATTATACCCAGAAACTGCTACACCTAAGAGTACAGATTCCTGTAATGAAGACTGAACATAACCATATCTTCATTTTTTTTATATTTATCCATTTATGATACCGAGTACAGTCGTATATTTCTGCGCTTATATGTTACATTTTATCTTTTTGTCTTTTTCCTGTGATAGTCATCAGAAGAAAGGTTTACTTTTTAACTTTTTGTATTGGTCAAGTAATAGTAGTACCTGACTAGAATTGTTCACAGAATATCACAATTAAATAAGGAGGTTCCTCTAAGCGAGGTGATGGTTATTTAAAAATATCCCAAATGTTTTATCAATTTGACAAAATCGTTTTTACGATTCTATTTTTTTTTCAATTTAAAAATATTTTAAAAACGAGTTTTTTTTTAGTTTGCACATTGTTTTTTTCTGGATTAATTAAATATATTGACTTAATTGTAATTTTATCACATTATTTTATTTGGAATTATGGGATAGATTAATCTTAAAACAAATATTCAATAAAAGTAACAGTATATTTTATAGTTATGTTTGCTTTTAAACCTTTACACCGTGTAAACAAAATAGTTTCAATTTTATTTTAGTTTTATTTCTTCAGGTGTCGTAGGTATTGATCTCTGTTATTTAAATACGGTTACTGTAATGCAATTAATTAGAATGTAGCAATCAAAAATGTAACACATTAATAAAGTAATGCAATTATTTAAAACTGCTTTTTATTACTAAAAATTTTAGTAGAAATGCACTTGTAAAAACTATACTTTAGAATACTAAAAACCTATTGGGTCTTATATTTTATGGACAGGTGTTCCTTATGAATGTTTAGAACTATTGTTACTAAGATTTATTTTTTTTTGTTATATTTACATTGCAGTCTGTAGATAAAGCTGTCTGATCAAAACGTCGAAAACAAAAAGTAAACAAGGAATTCAGTAAACATTATGTATTTTACAAAAAAATACTGTGTAATTTTATAGGTCTTGTCTAAGTTAAAGGCTGTTTATATGCTACCCGAATGCTTTAGTATTCTTACGTTATATAATCTTTTGGGCAAAAATAAAATTTCGTAATTCGTAAACAATCTATTATAAACTTATTGTATTGTATTAAAGGGAAATCGTCTTTACACCATTTTAAAAATAAATGTAAACGTTGTATCGTTAAAAAATGTAAAACTACATTTTTTATTCTATCTTGTTAATTACTAAGTAATATGTCGTAGGCTTTACAAAATAAGCTATGAACAGCTGACTCAAAAAATAAATAGAAACTAAAATAAAATTCTTTTGTACTTTAAGTCCATCTCGTCAAAATTTATACTTTTCTAAGGCAAAGGAGTAATACGGTGCAGGAAGAACTATCAAACTACCATTCCCACACTCAAAAAATAAGTAATTAACATTTGTTATAGGAAACAGAAAAGAAGATTGTTACGGCGTATAGACAGAACAATATAGAGTAGTGCATAATAAACATAAAAACATATAAAAAGTCGAACATTGCTAAAACATTAAATCTAATCTGTATCACAAATCAAAAATATAAACTACTAAAATACTTCTCCGAGTAGAGCCCAAACACAAATATTTCTGACAATTACATTTTACAGTTTCGAGAGTTTACGTTCACAATCTATATCGCGATTGTTTTTTTTTTTCTTTGAGATTAACAACTTGCCATAATCCTGATTAAAAAAAAAAACTATTTAATATACAAACGTGTTTGAATGAAATAGTGATATATATATATATTGTAAAAAGTCGAGTATAAAATTTTAAAATACGATATGATACAAATGTGGAATTTACTGTTGTTTGTATAGAAACTAATTAAAATATATATATATACAATGACAACCGTGATTATTTAACTTGATCTACTTCATGAGAGATGACCATTAAATACGCTTTGCAAATATTTAAT